TAGCACACAGGTACAGCAGGTAATCAGGAAGGCTATGGCATGGAAATGGCTAATGGAATGTTGGTCCTTATTTCAAGGCAGTTGGAGTATAAATGTAAGGAGCCGTACTGCAACCTTTCAAGATGTTGGTGAGAACACACCTGGAGTACTGTCAGCAGTTTTGGTCCCCTTAAGGCACGATATTGTTTCATTGGAGGAAGTCCAAAGAAAGTTCACTGGGATGATTCCGCAACATTGAAGGATTGATTGTCTTATGAGCAAAAGGCTAAACAGATTGGGACTCTAACTCACTGGAATTTTTTTTTTCAAAAAAAGAGGTAAACTTATTAAAGCCAATAGATTCTTAAGATGCTTAACAGGGTAAGTACTGAGAGGATGTTCCACCTTTTGGAAGCATCCAAGACAGAGGGCATAGTGTCATAATAAAGGGGTGCCAAAATTTGAGACAGATGAGGAGCTATTTCTTCTCAGGGTTAAGTGTTTGGAACTTCTTGCCACAAAGCTGCAGGGGCAGAGGGTGAAAGTATCTTTCTGTATATTTAATATCGAGATAGACAGATTCTTGATCAGTAGGAGTATCAAGGATCATGAGAAAAACAGGAAAGTGGATGTGAAGAATGCCAGACCAGCCATGATCCTATTGAATGGTGGAGCAAGCTCGATATTACACCACTCTCACTACTCCCCAGCATACTGAAACCATCCTTCATTAACAATGCTATCCCACCTCCTTATTAAACTGCCCAAATCTCCTCCAGCCAGATCTCCAACAGCGAGCTAGTTATATTCATTTATTATTATTTGTGCCATTAACTCATCTATCTTGTTAAAGCTTGCAGGTTAGGTGGATTAGCCGTGGTAAATGCAGGGTTAAAAGGTGGGGTGCATTTGGGAGGGTCTGTGTGGATTCATTGGGCCAAATGGCCTCTTTCTGTACTATAGGGATTTCTTTTAAGAATCCCTATGATGTGGAAACAGGCCATTTGGCCCAACAGGTCCACACCAACTCTGAGGATCATCCCACCCAGATATACCACCCTACCCTATCCCTGCAACCTCTATGGCTAATTCATCTAACCTGCACATCCCTAGACACGATAGGCAATTTAGCATGGCCAATTCACCTAATGTGCATATCTTTGAACTGTGGGAGGAAACCCACACAGACAGTCATCTGAGGTTGGAATCAAACCTGGGTCCCTGGCGCTGAGGCAGCAATGCTAACCACTGAGCCACCCTGCCGCCTGCATGAAAAATTAACACATTCAGATAAAGAATCTTAAGTTTAACTTTTTACCATTACTATACTCTGGTGCTAATTTCTGCTGCACTTTTCTGCTTATGTTTTCTGAGATCAAAATAAAATTATAAAAACTGCAGACGGATAAAAGATCAGAGTGGAGCACAGGCTGTGGCAGATTCAGCCATGTGGAGGAAAAAGGCCCTCAAAAGCACTTAAAAAAAAATGAGAATTTAAATTAGGCTTCCCAGTCAACTTCATTAGCGAATACAGAACTGACAAGGAAAACAAGATTTTGAATTAAAACTCAAGATCTTTGGGTGTGCTCAAAGTTACAAAGGGTGCAAGTCGAGAGGGTGGACTGTAAAATAGTTGAACCTAGAGGTAGCAGCAGCACAGATGGGAGATTTACTAGATGATCCAAACTGGGATTAAAATAGGCAGTGCAATGGTTGGTGAAAGAAGGCAGTCTTATAGGGTCAGATGTTCAGCTCAGCTGCCAAGATTACAACTTGGTCCAAAAGGAGTGGAGTTTGTAGCACTGTCTTTAGTCTGCCCAATATTTAATGAGTAAAATTTCCTCCAAAGCACACCATAGACAAGTAACATAATACAGAATAGAAGGTTGGGGAGGAGCTGGTGATAGGGTGCAGCTCACTAACGTTTTTTAAAAAAAAATTCATTTACAGGATGAGGGTGTTGCTGGCATGGCAGCATTCATGGCCCATCCCTAATTTTCCTCATACTTTCCACTCTATCCATGCCATTCACAATTTTCTAAACTTCTATTAGGTCGCCCCCTCAACCTCCTGCATTCCAGTGAGAACAAACCCAGCCTATCCAACGTTCCTTCATAGCTAAAATCCCCCATACCCACGTGACATCCCGGTAAACTTTTTCTGTATCTTCTTCAAAGCATCCACATCCTTCTTGTAGTGTGGGGACCAGAACTGTATGCAACGTTCCAAGTGTGGGCTAACTAAAGTTCTATAAAGCTATAGCATAGCCTGCCTATCCTTATACTCAATGCCCCTTCCAATGAAGGCAAGCATGCCATTTTTATTACCTTATCTATCTGTGCTACTACCCTGATCTGCACACCCAGATCCCTCTGCACATCAATACTCCTAAGGGGTTTTGTCATTCACTGTATAATTTCCACCTGTACTTGACCTTGCAAAATGCATCACCTCACATTTGTCCAGATTAAACATCTGCCATTTTTCTGCCCATGCCTCCAACTGATCTATATCCTGCTGTATCCTCTGACAATCCTCCTCACTATCCGCAACTCCATGAATCTTTGTATCATTTGCAAACTTACTAATTAGAGCAGATACATTTTCCTCCAAATCATTTATGGAGACCACAAACAGCAGAGGTCCCAGCATTGATCCCTGTGGAACACCACCAGTCACAGCCCTCCTTTCTGAAAACTATTGTCCCACGACTACCCCGTCTCATGTGACTAAACCAGTTCTGTATCCATCTTGCCAGCTCACCACTGATATCATGTGACTTCACCTTTTGTGCCAGTCTGCCATGAGGGACCTTGTCAAAGGTTTTACTGAAGTCCATGTAGACATCAACTGCTTTTCCCTCAATCTTTGGCACCACCTCAAAACTCGATCAAGTTGATGACGCACGATCTCCCACCATCCCCCAATAAAACCAATAAGCTATCACCAATAAGCCCCTTTGCTTCTAAATGCGGAGAGATCTTGTCCCGGAGAATCTTTGAGTAATTTTCCTACCACTGATGTGAGACTCACAGGCCTGTAATTTTCAGGATTATCCCTACTATCCTTCTTCAACAGTGGGACAATATTGGCTATTCTCCAGTGCTCTGGGACCTCACCTGTTGTCAAAGAGGAAACAAAGCCATCCACAGCAATTTGTTCTCTTGCCTCCTTCAATAATCTGGGATAGATCCCATCAGGACCCAGGGACTTACCTAACTTAATACTTTTAAAAAGGAAGAGCTGCAGTGCATTTTCAATAGCAACTTGGCTTAGAAACTCGACACTCCCTTCCCCGAGATCATCTCCATCAAATCTTTCTCTTTGGTGAATACCGACACTAAGTGTTCGTTTAGGATTAAGAACTGAAAGGATACAGCAACTGTAATGACACAGGGATAGCAAGCTAGACCAGTGCAGATTCATTAACATTGTTTTAATTCTACTGTGATGCAAATCCATTGGATGACCTTCAAAATTACTCAGCTGTTCCTAACTTGCTTTAAATTAGAACCTTGGTATCTGATAGCTGTTAAACAGAAAATTAACAATTAATTAATATAGTAACTTTAGCAGAGAAAAGCTAAATAAGATATTCTAATTAATGCCCATGATTTAAATTCACCTCAGATCATAACTCCCTCTCAGTTCTACAGAATAAATTAAAGTCTAATTTGCCAGTTCAGTAACCATTTCAACAACAAATACCGGTTCTTTAAGGAATCCTTTAACAACGCATTCCATTTCAGGCACATGGGATTGTATCTTGCCTGAATTCCAAAGTCACCAGTCAATGCAGCTTTACAGCAGGTCTGAAGAATATTCACATTTCTTTTAAACTGGGATTTTCTCTCAGAACATTCAACATTTTTAAACTAAATATAAAACACAGCTCCCAAGTCCAGCAACTTCGAGAACATAGCCTTCTGCTCAAAGAACCAGTTTGATCCATTGTTTCTGTTTTTTTTCACATTGTGGAAAGGTCAGCACCAGACTCTGTTTGGCCAATACCACATCCAGTCAGCTGCAGTCCAAGCACAACATATCCCAGCGCTGAAACATTTGCGGTATTTTAGAGCAACAATAATTCACCTGCAATTGTTTTTGCAGGCCTGTTGCCAACCAATACCAGTCTGTTCTCTTTTTAAAAAGAAGCTGCTGCTCAAAGTACAACTCAACTTCAGCTCAGTTCCAAATAAGGGGAGGCGATGGCCTAGTGGTATTAAATCACTGGATTGTTAACCCAAAAGCCCAGATATCTGAATCCCACCATGGCAGATGGTGGACTCTGAATTCAACTTTTTAAAAAAAAAATCTGAATTAAGAGCCTAGTGATGACTGTGAATCCATTGTCAATTGTCAGAAAAACCCATCTGGTTCATTAATGTCCTTTAGGGAAGGAAACTGCCATCCTTCCTGGTCTGGCCTATGTGTGATTTCAGACCCCCAGCAATGTGGTTGACTCTTAACCGCCCTCTGGGCAATTAGGGACAGCAAATAAATGTTGGCCTAGCTGGTGATGCCCTCATTCTGTGAATGAATTAAAAAAACTAAAACAGAAAAATAAAGAAAAAAAGTGATGGTCTCAACATTAATCAGAAAAGACCAAACAGGCTGGAACTGCAGCTAGGACAGGCAAATGGGAATCAGATAGAGGTCTTAAAATTATGAAGCACTGAAAGATTTAATGCATAGAGATACTTTCATTTGTAGGGACCAAAAGATGACATTCATTAATAAATAAAACAGAGCATTAAATGGAGTGTAAAGAGGGTAGAAACAAGGTTTATGAGCAACCTAGTGGATATCAAATAATTACAGGATCACAAATCTCAGCCGATTGTCTGAACTGCAAAACATCAGGTCTTTAAGCAGCGAGACCTAATGTCAAGCAAAGCTGGACTGGTGCATAATTGCATATGCATGTGAAGAAACAATACACCATTCATAATCCTCAAACACCTTTATTTTGAATTGGCCATAAATTGATCCAATGCAGAAATAAAACAAAAAAGGTACAAAGCAAGTTCATAGCCGCAAAAACCAACAGTCCAGCAAAAGATTAGAATCCTGGAACTTCTTTCCTAACAGCAATGTGGATGTACCTACATTGCATGGAGTGCAATGGTTCCAGATGGCAGCTCATTATCTGCAGAGCAGTTACGATTGGATAAACAATGCTGGCCTAACCAATGCTGCCCACATCCCAAAAGAAAATTATGATTTAGTTCAGCATTAGACATATATCATAATTCACACCCACAAAACGTAGCTCACCATGTTAGAGGTGCAAATAGTTATCAGTGCTAAAGGACCTGACATGTTGGAAGTATACACAAGTACATATAGCAACGGTACTTATATCAGAGCTCCCTGACAAAGGGATCTATACCCTGGATTCTCCACAAATATTTTCACCAAGCTAAATAAAACCATACACAATCCAAAAGGAGGCAGTAAATTCTTTCCAGGTACACTTCAACTTACCCTTTTTCTTAAAAAGAGTGCTACTCTTATCTTAACATTGAATTTGGTAAATATTCATGACATGACTTTATGCTGTTGATTGGCTAATGTTCAAAACTTACAATGACTAAATTAGTTCAAACCCATTTTGCACAATAACCAAAAAAAATTATAATCAAGAAATGTCTTTTATCATTCCAGAGATCAGCATTTAGGTATTAGCAAACTGGTGTCTATTTTAGTCTGCATTAGGCCACAGCAGTTCCTTCTATACCAAAACCACATTTATTACTATGCATGGTGTTTGCAGAATCTGCCTTCTAGAACTATTTCTTGGCTGCTAAGTTTGCCTGTCCAGAATTGAATAATTGCCGCAAATAGAGCCAACTAAAAACCAATAACCATTTTGTCTGAAGATTTGAAACTCTTAATTTTGCCACTCTTAAGATAAACATGCAATACTACAATGCAAGTTAGCAGTCCTGCCCATGTTAAACTCTTGCAACATTAATAAAATCGAAAGTGAATATCTTGTTCACAATCTTGGGGTTGTTTCTGCCACATACCCAGGAGTTTGTAAGAACACAAATGAAGTTTTTCCAAAAAAAAAAGCCCTTCTACAGCAATTAGCATCCCAACAAATTTAATTGTCTAATACAGACCATTATTTCAAAACTGCAATTTTAAATAACTAAATTATATCATTGAATTCATGTTGACACATTCAATATCCAAGAGGTCAGTGGATCAGCAGGTCACAGGTACTCAAAGTGATCATAAAATGTACTTATAATGATAACCTGAATTATTTACCTGTAGTAAATAAATGATGCTCACTTGGACAAGATCCTTGTTAATATAGTAAATTCAGCTGATTGTAGTAGGTTTGCAAAATGTCAAAGTAATCCTGACACAGCCCAAACTTGACAAAGAACGGTCTTTAAAACAGTATATAGTTTTTAAAAACCTGGGATCCAATGCATTACATTATGGAAAGAGGAGGGAGTAGGGACCCTTGCCCACAGTCCCAGGCCAGTTTTCTTCCCATTGATCAGGGACCATCACTAGGCAGCATTTATGCATCATTTCATGGCGTGTGGGGTGGCACCAGACAAGACAAATGGATATTGTTCCCACCCCTGTCTTGGCTTAAATTAGAATATACTAATATGCCCACCCAAAGAAAATAACCTAGAGGATGGGGGAAAAATGATATTTGAACCGCCACTCCAACGCTGTTTAAAAAAGGAAATTAACTTTAAAGTTGATCCAAAATTAACTCTGAAACTGAACTGCAAAACTGCCACAGGTAGCTGATCAGGGAAAGACACTACAGTTTAATCTGGACTGTACTCTGCAGTGTCTGTGTTGAAGTGACTGATCTCAGCAAGGGCGTACAACCAGCTAGAGGAGCCCTCTACTGGGGGTGACATTTTCCCTAGATTCTCAAATTATTTGGGGACTCCTGCTGTTGACACATATGGAGGTCAGGACCAGGCTCAGCTGCACAAGCTTCATGATCAAATATTATGTAGATGTTCACCATTCAGGATCACACAACGGATAACCACAGATGAGAAAACTGGAGCAGTGTTTTGTGTAATGAATTGAAAAGCACTGAAAGATCATACTGTACAATTTGTGGGAAACTGTTTACCGAAAGCAGCAAGATGGTCAACAGTAGTGAGCTAAAGGTGTGGATGAACAAATCTTTAAATTGGAATGCTGATATTAGAGATATAAGGATTCTGTAGTCCTATACATTGGAGTAATATATGGTTTGTTTTAAATATTGAATTTTTACCAATTAGTTAAGCCACATTTAGGTACTCAACACTGTTTTAGAGGGAGGACCTGAAGATGAGAATCCTGTAATTCCTGATCAGCAGAATTGTGTGCATCACAAACTGTAGCAGTTCAAGGTGGCTTACCACGTATTCCCACATCCAGTGAATGTCTAAAAACAGACTGCAGGATTATCGTTATGAAGAGAACCACAAATACGGCTTATTATCTGTTTGAAATTTCTTACCCAAGAGTCATGCAAGTAGAATCCATAATAGCTTTTAAAAGGAAAATGAACAAAACTTTAAAAAGAATTTTTGGGAAAGGGCAAGGAAATGGGACAAAGTGATAGGGTCAAATTGGATTCAAAAGTTAATTCTGTTTCTCTCTCCACAGATACCGCCAGACCTGCTGCGTTTCACCAGCATCTTGTTTTCATTTCAGATCTCTAGCATCCATAGTTCTTTGCTTTTATAAAAACTAATTTTAAAATACAGACAGCAGGCATAAAGGCAGGCCAAATGACTGCCTCCCATGTTATAAAATTTGATGATTTTACCTTTGATATGAAAGGGTTTGGCATCTTTGAGGATTAGTCAAACATGGAACACCAGGGTTGTGCATAAAAGGGAAATGGGAAAAGGGGATTAGGGCAAAGAGTTCAAGTCAGACTAGTATCCTAAGCACAAAAACAAAATGATCTGACAGTATCAAAGAGGAGTTAATGTTGAGTCTAGTATGACTTCTTTAGTACAATAAAAATGGGACAAAATAGATGGGGATTCCAAAGAAGTCAAACCAGACTCAAAAGATTAAGTTTATTTCTCTCCACAGATGCTGCCAGACCTGCGGAGTTTCTCCAGCATCTGTTGTCATTTGAGTTTAAGCTAGTATCAAAAGCACAATGAACTTGGGGCTCAATAACATTTGTAATTCTATTGGTTGCTTTAATTAAGAGAACTACTTTCAGTGAACGCAAAGAGATTGTTCAAGGATTTGGGACAAAGCATTGCAGTAGTGGTGGAGGAGGGGAAAAGGAGAAGACATGTCATGAATTTTTGATATCTGAGGAACTCTTGCCTCAGCTTGTGGATGCTTTAAAGATTGTGTATTTAGAAAACTGAAAGAGATTGTGTGCAAACAAGTTAATATCCAGTTGGAATGATTACAAGAATAGGTGCGGTTTTCCATTCACACAACTGCCCACACATCCGAATGTTTTCCTGGTCTAGAATATACATTCTTGGGAAATGCTTCATTTCATAAAGTTGCTTTTTTAAAGTAGTAATCATGACAGGAAACATGATGGTTTTTATATTCACAGGTAATAAAGTCGGTCTGCTAATGCCAGACTGGGCTCTCGATGAATACTTTGTCCCACTAAGAATGCCAGCTTGTGGGCATACTGGCAGGGGGCAGGCACACGAATAACACCCTAAAAACAACAAAAAAAATCAGTTTATTTACAATCCAAATTTCCAAGTTACGTTCAGTATTTGAGATGTCAATACATTTTTCTGGATGAAATGCAGCCATTTACTTTCTGAATTGCAAAAATTTACCACCCATCCCATTACAACCACCTAAAGAGCGGTTTAAAAATAATTAATGCAAATTGGGAGGAGTAGGCCACTCAGCCCCTCAAACCCTGCACTGCCTTTTGATTTCACAGGCTCATCTGATTGTGCAGCATTCCCACCTGTCCCCAAAACCTTTTAGCTACTTCCTTGTCAAAAATCTACTTCCACCTTAAAAATATTCAAGAACTCTGCTCAGGCTACTTTTGAGGAAGACCATTTCATATAAGGAAAAAATTTTCCTTATCACCCATGTATTAAATGTGCTTAACATCAAGTAAGTAGAAATATAATAAACCACTTGAGATATGATTCTATAATTCTAATTAGGATTTTTCTAATTGAGTGACCATATTAAGAAAGCCAATGTTGAAATTCATTCAGGAAAAGTTCACTTGAGTATACATGTCTAACTGTCATAGTATTTGAAACAATTATTGCTTGGCCTCAACCTTGCCAAGCATGTTATTTAAATATAAAACAAATAACTGTCAAGAGAACCCTTAAAATTACTTTTTAACTCAATACCAAATTACATTTTCTGGTCCAATTTTTCTGGAGTAATTTAATATATAGTGTTTGGGTTTGAATATAAACTTGTCTTTTACATTTTCTAACTTCCAATAACTTCCAAATACATACACATGCTCAACCTCAACTAAAGACATTTGAGGGGTAAAATGAATGATTATGACAACAACAGGGTTCAAAACTAAAATATATGGCTAAATGGTTAAACGTTTATCAAGGAAATACAATTCAAATCTTCTGTGATAAATTGATGTTAAGCTTTGCAAAATACAAGTAGACAGTCCAGTTTCAAACTCAGTTTGTAGCGACTCCCCTTTTAGTGAACAGTAAATAGTAGCCTCAAAAATCTGGCAGTTGGAAGATTGAGCAGCATTTAGTTTAGATTTAAGGTAGAGCTACTTTGAAAACATTGGAGTCGTTGAGCCTCCAGTCTGATCAGTTTTATTAAATGAAAGAAGACATTATCTCACTCACCGGCCAATTGTAATACATGTGGCACAGCTTGTAAGTTAGTCGCTGCATGTAATCTGGTTTCAAGTTGCTGCTGTCATACACTACATTGTAGTGTGTCGGTGTAACAGTACCAACCTTCACTGACTGACTGACTATATAGAAGTCATACCTGACCCAAAAAAAACACACTGTTAACACAGTCTAATTTTTGTGTTTAAAATCCATTAAGCGAGTCAAAAATTATGCTCAAAATGTTTAACACAATACTTTACCATTCTGGTCTTGTGACATCTGTGTCAATGACAGTGCCAGGAGGTGGGTTCTGTAATCTTCCACCAGCTTGTGAAAAAAACCTTGCATTAACACGCTTCTTTACAACAATCACCGATAGCTTTGGCCTGAGAAAGAAACATTGGTTAGATGTACTAAAAGATAAAAATTATACTGTTGAGGAGTTTTCGATTTTGTGTAACTCACTTGTAGTCAGTCAGGTATTTCAAACAATCTAGCAGCTGCGGAACCTCATAATTGACTACAGTGTTCAACTGTCCATCACCAACTCCATCACGGTACACAACGATGCGACCAGGCAGGCACTTATTGTGAGCATGCCATGTCTTCAAAGCAGCTGAGGAAATTGAAATTCAACAAATGAAGTAACTTACAGATAAAAGAATTTCTTTGAGACAATTAAATTTATAAGCAAACTTATTTTTATGACAATATCACCTGAAAAATTCCACACTACTTTACTTGTGGATCCAAAAATATGCATTCAAGTGATTCAAAGTTGCGCCTAATGTCTGATTCAAATGACTCGAGTTATTAATGCAAGGTTAAAGGGTTTTTAATTTGTTTCATCATTTACTAAGCAAAATATATTAGCAGATTTTAGCATAAATGGCGAAGCAAGAATATTGACTGCTAGCCTAGGAGAAAATTGCCCACAAAAGATCCAGTGATCCCAAGTGTCCAAAGTGTCATCATCAAGTACGGTCTGCAGTCACTGTACTCTCAGATAGCAAACTAGGAGGGTGGTGGAAGATATAACCAAATCCATTCAGTAATTTTTCAAAAAGAACAAAATTGGGATTACGGCAGGTGGTAAAATATTAAATTGTCAATTCAAAATATCGAAGTGGAATTGTTATTATTTTATATTCAACCAACAAAGTTATTTCAAGACCATTAATAAAGCATCTTAACATTAATAATTAAAGTGTTACAACCCAGTTACATCTTATTCAAGAAAATGTAACTGCAGAATTTTAACACTAACACACTGTCTTGCAAGTTATGCCAAATTAGTCATTTCTAATAGGTTTGGAGAAACCTTAATAGTGCACCCTCTGAAGCATCACAGAACAGCAGCAACATCTGAATTTCTACACTTGATTGCACAGGTGCTGCTGGCTTCAAAGGAGCAATGAGAATGAATGCCAGGCTTCACTATTATTGTCTCAATGTCTGGGCTTTAAAAAGATGCCAGAAATTAAGATATTCTCGAAGGCTGTTGAATGCATGAGCTTAAAAGGACTCTTGTTAAAAGGGAGCAAGTAACCCAAGTTAACACTTTCATTAAGAAATATTATATAAAGACGACAGAGTGAATACACAGGTTTGTCACGTGTAGTCATGCCCACTGAACAAGGAACTTTAAAGTGCGAAACAGGGTGATGCTTCATTGAGGTCTGAGTGTCTGTTAAGTGGAGGATAAAAAAGGTTGAATACTTATTTTTTGGTGCGTGAGAAAAAGCTGTTTCAAACAGCTCATATAGTGTAGAATTGTTGTGGTTTTATTTTTCTTGAGTGTAATAATCTTCGAGGTTCTTTTGCTCAAAGTACGTTGGCAACCTCTTGGAAAAAACGTTTAATAACTACCAGAGTCAAAAATAATTTGCACAAATAAAATGAAGGGTTTATAAGCCAGGTTTCATCCTGGGGATGAAATGCCTGTATTACCATCAGGTGGTAATACACTTACACACTTGGTGCTTTTAAGTATACAATATCTTTTATCCAATTCAGGCATCTACCTACCTTGTAAGCAAACTTTTAATCCATCTACAAGTTCTTGTCCACGCTCTTGCAAGATGCAGCGAGAAAACCACCTAGTCAAGGATCACCATGTTAGTTGTTATTCTTAATTTTATTATTTGAAAAGTTGGTAATGTAATCCTTAATGATGTGAAGGGTGGATGTTTAAAAATCTCAAAATTATGAAGCAAGACAAAAAAAAGCAAATACTCCAATTAAACTCCGCTGCATCTTTTCTTCAAAATCTTATTCATTCGACATTTCAACAGATTTACTTCCTACTGAAAAGCTTAAGATTTTCTTTCAGTCTAACTTCTAGCTCAGAAATGTTGACTATTGACAAGTCAGACAAATCAACAGATCATCTCATTCCAGTGTAGAAAATCCTGTTTAGTACAGGAGAACAGACCTAAGCTACATCAGTATTTTTGCAACTTCACAACATTTCAGATTTTGGTTGCTATGCCACCCTAGAATACTGTTGGTAGCTAGGCCAACTCAACAGAAACTTTTATCTCAAACTGCTAAGACCCAGAAATGAACAAATCATGTGTCATAGTCAAAATAAATTCTTGACTAGATCAGACCATTTGTGGGTAATCAAGACCTCAGTACTAAATACTAAAAACAGCAAAAACTGCACAAGATTGATAATGTCAGCAGTTATGCACTTAAACAATCAGCCTTCAGAACTTGGCTTATTTAGCAGAAGATTTAAAGGCAGATGTACAGCACAGAAACAGACCTGTCAGTCCAACTCATCCATACTGGCTAGATATCCTAAATTAATCTAGTCCCATTTGCTAGCATTTGGCCCATATCCCTCAAAATCTTTCAGATGTTGTCAAAACCATTAGATTTAAATTTAATTGGTTTTTTTGGTATCCAAGAGCCTGGTTTAAATTTATTGGCTAAACTCAAAAACCTGTTGTCTTGGTAAAAAGAGTGCTGCTTTGCCTCCTAACAGTACAGCCTTTTGATTCAAATGCTTCAATTCAGGTGCTGTGCACCTGCAAACACGCAAACTTCCTTTTTGAATCTCTAAGCATTGAAAAAGCACATCTTTTAAAATGACCACACACTGCTTTCCCCATAGCTTTTTTTTTAAAATTTACAAATGCCAGCTTTTTTTTTTAAAAAAGCTATCACCATTTTTAAAAAAATATACACCAGCTTCTAACGTCCTGCCTTCTAACCCACAAGTACTCTACCCAACTTCACAACAGGTTCCTTTTAAATCTTTCCTCTCACATTAAACCTATGTCCTCTAGTTTTGGAATCCCCTACCCTGGGGGAAAAAGTGACCTTGGCTGTTCACCATATCAATGCCCCTTATGATTTTATAAACGTCTACAAAGGTCACCCTTCAGCTTCCAATGCTCCAGGGAAAATAGTCCCAGCTTATTCAGCCTCTCCCTATAGTCCAAACCCTCCAACCCTGGCAGCATCCTTGCAAATCTTTTCTGAACCCTTTCAAGTTTCACAACATTTTTCCTATAGCTGGGAGACCAGAATTCAATGCAGTATTCCAAAAGCAGCCTGACCAATGTCCTGTACAGCTGGAACATGACCTCCAAACTCCTACACTCAATGCACTGACCAATAAAGGCAAGCATACCAAACCCCTTCTTTGCTATCCAGTCTACCGGTGATTCCACTTTCAAGTAACTATGAACCAGCACTACAAAGTCTGTTTGTTTGGCAAAATTCCCCAGAACCTTACCACTAAGTGTATATGTTCTGCCCTGATTTGCCTTTTGAAAATGCAGCACCTCACATTTATCCAAATTAAATTCCATCTGCCATTCCTTGGCTTAAAATGTGCAGTACACAAGGTACTGATGCTTTCAGGTGAAGGACAGATGGGAAGGTGACGGCCTACTGGTATTACCACTACAGTATTAACCTAGAAACCGAGAGGATGATCCATCTCAGTCTCCTTCAGTGGTCCCCAGCATTACAGATACCAGTCTTCAGCCAATTCAATTCACTCCACAGGATAAAGAAATGGTTGGAGACACTGGATACTGCAAATTCTAGGGGCCTTGACAAAATTCCAACAATTAGTACTGACGACTGATACTCGAGAATGTGCCACTCCACTAGCCAAGCCTTTCTAGTACAGTTACAAAATTAGCATCTACCCAAAAACGTGAAAAATTCCCCAGGTACGTCCTATACATAAAAAGCACAACAAATCCAACTCGGCCAATTACCACCCCTACTCTCGATCATCAGTAAAGTGGTGGAAGAAGTCAGTGTTATCAAGCAGCATTTTCTCAGCAATAACTTGCTCAATGGTGCCCAGTTTGGGCTCTGCCACGGCTACTCAGCTCCTGACCTCATTACAGCCTTGGTTCAAACATGACCAAAAAAGCTGTATTCCAGAGGCGAGGTGAGGAGAGAGTAACAGACCTTGACATCCGAGTGTGGCATCAAGGAGCTCTAGCAAAACTGGACTCAATGGGTGTCAGAGACAAACTCTCCCACTGGTTGGAGTCATAGCTGGCACACAGGAAGATGGACACTGAATACTCCACTATCAACATTCTGGAGGTTACCATTGATCAGAAACTCAACTGGAATCACCACATAAAGACAGTAGCTACAAGAGCAGTTCAGAGGTTAGGAACACTACAGCGAGTGACTTACCTCCTGACTCCCCAAAGCCTGTCCACAATCAACAAGGCAGAAGTCAGGAGTGTGCTGGAATACGCCCATTTACCTGGATGGGTGCAGCTCCATCAACACTCAAGCATGACACTGTCCAGCACAAAGCAACCCGTTTGATTGGTACTACATCCATAAGCATCCACTTCCTCAGTGACTCTCAGTAGTAGCACCATATACGGACTACAAGATGCACTGCATTAGTTCACTAAGGCTCCTTTGACAGCACCTTCTAATCCACTTCCATCTAGAAGGACAAGGACAGCAGATACATGGGAACACCACCTCCTCCAAGTTGCCCTCCAAGCCACTCACTATCTTGACTTGGAAATACATCACCATTCCTTCATTATCACTAGATCAAAGTCCTAGCATTTCCTCAAGGTCACTTTGGGTCAACTCACAGCAGCAGTTTAAGTCAGCAGCTCACCATCACCTTCAAAAGCAACTAGGAATGGGCAATAAATGCTGGCCCAACCAGTGACAGTGACACTCACATCCCACAAATGTATAAGAAAAAAAAAGGAGTGCGCAGTTAGAATTATATGAAATAAATTATGGCCTAAGTGCCAAGTCATTAACTACAGTTAATGCTGCATATTAATACTTTCCAGCTTCCCTCAACTGAGTATAGGAGTTGGGAGGTCATGTTGCAGCTGAACTGGGCATTGGTCAGGCCACTTTTGGAATACTGTGTGAAATTCTGGTCTCCCTACGATAGGAAGGATGTTGTGAAACTTGAAAGGGTTCAGAAAAGATTACAAGGATGTTGTCAGGGTTAAAGGGTTTGAGCTATAGGGAGAGACTAAATAGGCTGGGGCTATTTTTTCTGGAGGAGAGGCTGAGGGATGACCTTATAGAGGTTTGTAAAATCATGACGGGCATGGATAGGGTAAATAGACAAGGTCTTTTCCCCGTGTCAGAGTGACTAAAATTACAGCATTATACGTTCAATGAGAGAGGGGAAAGATTTAAAAAGGGATCTGAGGAGCAACTTTTTTTTTAAAAAAAATTGAGGGTGGTGCATGTATGGAATGAGCTACCTGAGGAAGTAGTGGAGGCTAGTACAATTACAACATTTAAAAGGCATCTGCATGGGTATATGAATAGGAGGGGTTGAGGGGGATATGGGCCAAATGCTGGATGAGTTCGAGCAAAGGGTCTGTTTCTCAGCTGTACTTCTCTATGATTCTATGTTAACCAATGACCATATTTCCAAAAACTCTGGATATTTAAACTGATTTCAAATGTAAACATCAAGGAAAAACTATAAATTTTTTATGGAGAAGGGATAATGCTTTCATTGTTTGTAATATTTCCTAATTAGTTACAGCTTCCCAAAGGCACCTTCCACTTGCAACTTACCTTGTTATTGACTGATTAAGACTGGCTACAAATCCTGCAATGGACTTCCTCCCAGCAGCATTATCATGGTAACAATCTATACCAACCACCATGAGCTGTTTGAGCTGTAAAACATTCACCATGTTAAATGTCACCCACGCTTTAGAATGCAATAAAGTCCAAATCAGTTAATACCACAGAATTTTCCCAAATCCACAAGCGAGGTTACAGACTCTTCACAAACTTTCCCATTCTGCAGTTGTTCTTACTTAGAGAGCAATACACAAAAACGAACAGACCATTTTATTTGCATGTAGTATGCTCCTAGCAATTGAAATCGCCAAGTTTCAATGCTCTTTGAACAACTTGAAATCAATAATCAAGGATGGCTGGTGTCAAATCCACCACTGGTCTTAAGTGATGACGTTCATTAAATGAGCTGGAGAGGCATGATGGGCCAAATAGACTCCTCCTGCAATGGAACACTTCTGCAATTCTGAACTGCTTTCAAATCTTTCAAAAGCACAAGCTAAGAGCCAATTCTTCAATGACTAATCACCCAAACTTTAACTCATTTAAAGGACTTCTAATTTTTTTCTTTTGTTTAAATCTCACCAGTTTGAAATGAGAAAAATATAGATGCATGAATTTAAAGTATAACCAAACAGATACTTATACAGGAATGGTACTCTAACCTCTAATGGACAGAGCGCCCATAAACACCAGTGCCTCAGTCTACCATATTTCTAATATTCAACAGGTTTGGTTTGGGAAAGGGAAGTAATTTTTTTGGCATGCAGGCAACACTGGCAAAACATTAAAATCAACCAGTGTAGGACTAAGCTTACATGTGGGTCTAGCCCAGTGAAGGAGACAAATTCATTGTGCTGGAGGCTTTCAGTGAACCAACTGTGCTTCTACAATAAACCAGCAGCTTTCAAGCTCATTTTTCCAGATATTAAATGAAAAAAAAATCAGGAAATTACATTCAATTAAAATGAGTTTACAACGTCACATTCAGATTTGAACTGACTACCTTTAATAGCTAGGTTAGCACCAAAATCACAAGGCCTTCCAAATTCATTGTAACCATTTTGCTTTGCAAGACTATGGACAGCTGACTTGTTACTGTACTCCTGGGCTGATAACTGTTTGAATCCACAATCCAGGAGATACGAAACAACATTGCATCAGTCTCTTTTTCTTTAAGAGAGCAAACTAGTCTTTACTATCAAAGGCTATAGTCTGACTTACTTAATTAGGGGAAAAAACTGCTAAAGAAATACATTATTTCGCAATACAGAAAGCATGGGGAGTTTTATTCATGTGCAAATACTTACTGGTATCTCGACACTCCACAGTTCACCACCCATTTTACAGTTTATTTGCAATGCAATTTTTGTTGCAATAGCCATCAATGCCTGTGGCTTACTTAAGGTGCGAGCGACTACGCACTGACTTGGGGTTGGGCATTCAACACACAAGTATTTCTTGATTGTATCGTATTTGTCTTTGCGATTAGATGGAAGGACACAAACAACCTGGTGAGCAAAAGAATGTTAATTTGAAAACAGAATTACCAGTTTAAAAACACTTCATTTTACTTCATACAAGACTATTGTTGCAATGGATAGTGTGTGCAAATAGCTACTGTTTTCATCCTTATTATTTGTCCAATTCACTTAACTTTATCAAATATTTGGAAAAGTTTTATACAGGAGACCATTACTGAAAAATAACAGGGAGCTCCCTGTACCTACTCCTCAAACAGCCCATCCTTTGTCATCAAAACCCTTCAAAATCTTGAATATTTTGAAATCTACAAACCTTCGCAATCCTCATGAGCCTCCAATACTGAGTTCTGATAACAAAAGCTTTGGTATAAAAATCAGTGAATTTTCTGGTACCCTTTTCCTGAAATGTTTGAAGTTGAGTATCCAAAACTGGAATATTCTAACTATAGTTCAACCAGTGATATGAGCAAGTTTAGCATTGCTGCTAATTGTATTCTTGACAATGATTCACATTTTAGGGTCATAGGAACGTAACTCTTCTGCAATATATTCATTTGTGTCTCCACTTCTACAGATTTCAGATTTTTCACTTTTACCAAAGGATTACATAGTTTCATAATGAATAAATCCTCCCGTCATTAACACCCATGTGTACACTATGGAAAGTTTAAATTTAAATCTAAAATGGAGAAAGGTAATACAGGATTAAATCTTTAAATATGCTCTTACAATTCTTGTAGACTGAGTAACATTAGACTGCAAAGCCTTCAAAAATGCCTCACTGCGATCTTCCACCTCAATCCTAAAATGAAAATCATTTCAGAAGTCAGTTTTTAAAAAAAGTGACCAGATCAAATTGATAACATATAGCAAACTTCATTAAAAAATACAGCCATAGAAGTCATGACTGGATCCTGCCCACGTAACTTTCAATAATGCCTATAAACCTCTCCAAAATTGCCAATCAGCACAGGCTTAACCTAGTAGAAAAATAAATTGTTGAAAATAGTTAAAATTTCTGGTCAGTGTCTCTGACAACCACCCATACAAGTGAATGAGGAATATATTCTCTCAAGTACCTTACTTGCAGGTGGGAAGTCAGGTGAGCCATTCACCACAAAATATGTAATTTTTGTTCTAGTCACACAACAGGAGAATTATGGAGTTATTCAGATGGAGTTTGATTCCCAGGATCTTGCCAGCAGGAAATTAGTTGAGCAACTTAAGTAAGACTCTCTCCAGTTGAAAACAGGTCATTGCCCAACAAGCTGTTTGCCAACTGAAGCCTGGATGTTGTACGAGACTGGTTACCCATGGTCAGAGACAGTTATTATCTGGGGAGTTGCCAATGGAGTGGACATCATTGCCCAAATTTCTTCCTTAGAGTGTAGCCACTTTGGTGCCAGATCAATTTTCTGCGTATTGGTCTGCTCCAGACAACCACCCAAAAATGTTGAGATAACAAGGTGTAGAGCTGGATGAACACAGCAGGTCAAGCAGCATCAGAGGAACAGGAAGGCTGACATTTCAGGCCTGGACCCTTCTTCAGAAATGGGGGAGGGGAAGGGGGATCCGAAATAAATAGGGAGAGAGGGGAAGGCGGATAGAAGATGGATAGAGGAGAAGATAGGTGGAGAGGAGACAGACAGGTCAAAGAGGCGGGGATGGAGCCAATAAAGGTGAGTGTAGGTGGGGAGGTACACACTAGGTCAGTCCAGGGAGGACGGACAGGTCAAGGGGGCGGGATGAGGTTAGTAGATAGGAAATGGGGGTGGGGCTTGAGGTGGGAGGAAGGACAGGTTAGGGAGGCAGGGACGAGCTGGGCTGGTTTTGGGATGCGGTAGGGGGAGGGGAGATTTTGAAGCTTGTGAAGTCCACATTGATACCATTGGGCTGCAGGGTTCCCAAGCGGAACACGAGGTGCTGTTCCTGCAACCTTCGGGTAGCATCGTTCTGGCACTGCAGGAGGCCCAGGATGGACATGTCGTCTGCGGAATGGGAGGAGGAGTTGAAATGGTTCGCGACTGGGAGGTGCAGTTGTTTATTGCGAACCGAGCGTAGGTGTTCTGCAAAGCGGTCCCCAAGCCTCTGCTTGGTTTCCCCGATGTAGAGGAGGCCACAACGGGAACAGCAGATGCAGTATACCACATTGGCAGATGTGCAGGTGAACATCTGCTTGATGTGGAAAGGCTTCTTGGAGCCTGGGATGGGGGTGAGGTGTAGGGGCAGGTGTAGCACTTCCTGTGGTTGCAGGGAAAAGTGCCGGGTGAAGTGGGGCTGGAGGGGAGTGTGGAGCGGACAAGGGAGTCATGGAGAGAGCGGTCCCTCCAGAAAGCAGATAAAGGTGAGGAGGGAAAAACGTCTTTGGTGGTGGGGTTGGATTGCAGATGGCGAAAGTGTCGGAGGATGACGCGTTGGATCTGGAGGTTAGTGGGGTGGTACATCTCAGATGTCCTCGTTTTTCAAGGACCACAATTTCCCCCCATCAGTGGTCGAAAACGCCCTCGAACGTGTCTCCCGCATTTCCCGCAACTCATCCCTCACATCCCCTCCCCGCAATAACCAAAACAGAATCCCCTTCATCCTCACGTCCCACCCCACCAACCTCCGGATCCAACGCATCATCCTCTGACACTTGCGCTATCTGCAATCCGACCCCACCACCAAAGACATTTTTCCTCCCCACCCTTATCCGCTTTCCGGAGGGACCACTCTCTCCGTGACTCCCTTGTCCGCTCCACACTCCCCTCCAGCCCCACCTCACCCGGCACTTTTCCCTGCAACCGCAGGAAGTGCTACACCTGCCCCGACACCTCCTCCCTCACCCCCATCCCAGGCCCCAAGAAGACTTCCCACAACAAGCAGATGTTCACCTGCACATCTGCTAATGTGGTATACTGCATCCGCTGTTCCTGTTGTGGCCTCCTCTACATCGGGGAAACCAAGCGGAGGCTTGGGGACCGCTTTGCAGAACACCTATGCTCGGTTCGCAATAAACAACTGCACCTCCCAGTCGCGAACCATTTCAACTCCTCCTCCCATTCCGCAGACGACATGTCCATCCTGGGCCTCCTGCAGTGCCACAACGATGCTACCTGAAGGTTGCAGGAACAGCAACTCATTCCGCTTGGGAACCCTGCAGCCCAATGTGGACTTCACAAGCTTCAAAATCTCCCCTCCCCCTACCGCATCCCAAAACCAGCCTAGCTCGTCCCTGCCTCCCTAACCTGTTCTTCCTCCAACCTATCCCCTCCTCCCACCTCAAGCCCCACGCCCATCTCCTACCTACTAACCTCATCCCGCCCCCTTGACCTGTCCGTCCTCCCTGGACTGACCTATCTCCTTCCTACCTACACTCACCTTTACTGGCTCCATCCCCGCCTCTTTGACCAGTCGGTCTCCTCTCCACCTATCTTCTCCTCTATTCATCTTCAATCCGCCTCCCCTTCTCTCCCTATTTATTTCAGATCCCCCTTCCCTTCCCCCATTTCTGAAGAAGGGTTCAGGCCCAAAACGTCAGCCTTCCTGCTCCTCTGATGCTGCTTGGCCTGCTGTGTTCATCCAGCTCTACACCTTGTTATCTCAGATTCTCTAGCATCTCCAGTTCCTACTATCTCACCCAAAGATGTTAATTTTTCTTCAGTGGAGTAGGAAATTGATGGTAGACCCAATGCAGGGTCTAACTCCATGTTATTAATTATGCTATTCTTTCAATGATCGAGTCAGGCACTCACACCACTTCATTACAACTAGTGCTGTGAATGAAGGGATTGAGTAATCAGTAATATAAAGAAGGAGAACTTGGTTTTCCAGAGAAACAATAAATTAAAACCGATCACGTTTACAACTTGGAGTTGCCTTGGGCACAAACTAAAAACTGCGTTATTTAAATTTTCCTGAAGTTTTGTTTTCTCTCCCACTGCCACAACATACATAGTTTCAGAATGTCTGAGCAGATCTAAAATACAAAAATCAAAATCAATTATACTGGTTCACTAGGATGTGGTATCGACAAAGTGTTAAGAGACAAATCTTCCAAAGTTTGCTGCCCTCTCCTTGGGTTTCATTTTTTTTGGTGTTGAATTTCCTCCCATCATAAGAGTTCAATGATGCAGAACAGGCACTTGTGGAACAACTGATTACATTGAAAAAGGATCTAATAAGAGCTTTCACTTGTATGGATTTATTTCTGGAACAGATTGGACATAGGCTCCTGAGCCAGTGGGAGAGATTACAAAACTAGGGGGAAGGACAATCTAAAAAACTTAAGAGTTTGATCTCTTACAAATGTGGTTTTAAAATTTATTCGTTCATGGAACATGGGTATCACTGGCTTGGCCAGCAATTATCGTCCATCCTTTGGAGGTAGTGTCCTCTAGAGCTGTATTCCTGAACCGCAGCAGTTCATTTGATGTTGCCATTCTAGTGATCACAGGTTTGGAAGATGCTGTCTAAGGAGCCTTGGTGAATACAGAACATAGAACAGTACAGCACAGCACAGGTCCTACGGCCCATGATGTTGTGCCGACCAAATTTCTGCAACATATTTTGCAAAATGTACACTGCTGCTACAGAGCACTGGTGGATGAGGGAGTACATGTTTGTGGATGGGATGCCAATCAAGTGGGCTGTCAGTCCTGGAAGGTGTGAACAGTATTTGCCACTTAACGCAAATGGAATGCTGTCTAGGTTTTGCTGCATTTGCACATGGGCTATTACAGTATTCGTCGTGAATATTGCAATTATTAATCAAATCATAGAATCCCTCTAGTATGGAAACAGGCCATTCAGTCCATCAAATCCATACCGATCATCTGAAGAGCATCCCACCCTATTCCTGTAACCTTGCACTTCCCCGTGGCTAATTCACCTAGCCTGCACATCCCTGGACACCATGGGCAATTTAGCATGGACAATTCACCTAACCTGCACATCTTTCGACTGCGGGAGGAAGCCCACACAGACAAGGGGAGAATGTGTAAACTTCACACAGACAGACACCCGAGGGTGGAATCATACACAGGTCCCTGGCACTGAGAGGCAGCAGCACTAACTAGTGAGCCACCGTATTGCCATGTTATGATACAAGTGGTGGGTGGCAGAAGTTTAGAATTCTCCAGCAAATGGCTGATATTAGGCCAACTGTTAGTTAATTTTAAATATGCTGTCAATTTTTCGTCTCAATCAAAATCTATTAAGGCAAATATTTCAAGTTAAGTCTCAGATTAGCCATAATTTGAGTGAGGCAGCAGGATCAAGGGTTAAATAGACCATTTCTTTTGATGCTCTGAAAGTTGCCAGGAATATTAAGAATAATAGCGCATTCAGTGTGGACCATACGAGCACAGTTGAGTACTTACATTAATGGCTTTTCCATTCTAATGCCCATTGCATTTACTACTTTGCCCAGAGTTTGGAAAAGGCTCCTAGCTACATCAGCATTTCTTCGGGTAAAAATCAACACCCAATTTTCCAGTGGAATAGGATTAATCAGGTAAGCACCTCTGGTTTCTCTGGACCACTCTGCTGCTTGAGGATTATAATCAAACTGAAATGTAATGGAATCCATGCATTGTAAATATAATCAAAGCGTAAAAAGTACAATTGAACAATATACACAAATTGTTTTCCACAACACATACCTAATTGATACATCACATAAGAAACAGTCAGTATAAACCAAGAAATTTGACAGTGATCTCTCACACATTTTAAATTATGCAATTATTTTGACTTCAGACCCAACCTTATCCATAACTATCTTTAATCTAATGGGGTTACAATCACCGACAGCAAAACGCTCTCTTTCCTCGTCCTCCACCCCGCATCGTGCTGCCCTATATTAGGTTAAGATCAAGGACTGTCATGATTTAGTTGAGTGATTAAAAAAGTCACAAGGAATTGAATGGCCTTCTCTAACATGGGAACAAAAAGGAACTAAAGTAATGCTAACAAAACTATTTCTAAAAACCAGCCACTTTTCCAGCAAGACTTCATTCAGACTGCTTGCCCTTATTTAACTTTGATGCACTTAGTATCAATATTTCTTACTCAAGCTACATATTGTAGCTTATATTGCAGTAGGATGAACTAAAATATAGCCTTAATCAATACATTCATGACCAATGGCTGAAAACAGTTGACACGTAACTCCGTGCATTTATCCTGAGGGTATCACCACATTAGGTTTAACCACTAGCTATGCTTTGATGCCGAAGCAACTCAGTATAATGAAATAGCTTACAGAACCATTTAGGTGATTGAATTTAGCTTCTTATAACTTGGACATAAATAAATTCACAGCCATTTGCAATCTGGCTGAGATTTCTAATGCACATTACCATTTTACCACCTTGGTGAATCTTCTCTGAAGGTACAACTCGGCCAGACAGAGAGTGTAACTCGGTATCAAATTGGAGACCCCAATCAGAGAGCTCCTTCTGTACATTATCATCCCTGTTTTTAAAAATAAGAATAAAAAATTCATTGCAATCTAATAACAGCAAGTCTGTAAAGTCCACTTTAGTTTTAGTCATTGCAGAAAAGAAATTCAGAACAAAGTGTAACACAGGGCTCAGGACATAAGTGACTATTTTGATAAAATGTGCTGCTATCAAGAGAGCCATAACTATCCCATGAGTTTAAAAAGGAGACCAGGTGAACACAGAAAATAATCTGATGATGCAGAGAGCCAGAAGGCAGAATGAAACGGAGTGTAATAACTGGCAGTGAATAATTTTCAAAATGGCCCATTTCGGTGTCGTATATTCTTTGGACATTGAATAAGTTACACAAATTAGTTCTATAATTGTTGTATTCCAACTCCAGACTGATTGAGACACTAGGATTTTAATTACAGTACATCAGCTTAACGTAAGCAGTGCAACCAGGTTCAGATTCCCGTCCCAATGTTGGCTTGGCTCAAACTATGAAGGCCAAGGAAAATTTGGTAGAACTGACTGCAGTAAACAGTGAAATTTAAAAGAGACAAAAAAATAGAAATTCCTGGAAAAGCTTAGCAGTACTGAGGAAGGGTCACTTGACCCAAAACGTTAACTCTGGTTTCTCTCCACAGATGCTGCTGGATCTGCAGAGCTTTTGCAGCAATTTCTACTTTTGTCTCCGCTTTACAGCGTCCACAGTTCTTTTGGTTTTTACTCGGGAAAAAAAGTGAGTTCACTTTAATCTGCTGACCTAAGTAACCAATAGAATCAGAAAAGACAATTAAAGACAACTGAAATTTAAAATTGTACCATAGTCCACTGAAAGAAATGGTTTCAATATTTTACGACAATGGGCCACATTTCAAAATTTTCATTTCCATACTTCTGATCATCAGATCTGTTGTCCAAACTTTCATTTCATTTAAGAACATACTTTTGAATGTAGTCCATGAAACGCCATAACCGCTGTTCTCTTTGTTTTGGTGTTAATCTTGTATGCACAGACAGGTCTCTCATAACATTGAAATCTGAACGTATTTTGTCAGTCATTCCTACAAATTAGAATGAAAGAAAACATGAATGTATATTGGTGCCTTTCACACAAAGCATTTTCTAGCCTATTGTGTTTCTTTATAGTGCAGTTATTGTTGTAATGTAGGAAACAGTAGCCAATTGCATTTGGCAAACTCTAAACAGCAAAGTGTCTATGACCAGATCATATGTTTTTGTGGTGTTGATTCACGGATAAATGTTGAAAAAGATATTGGATAATTTGCTTGTTCTTCTTCAATGAAATTATTCACCCAAGGAGGCTGCTGGGTCTTTGGTTAAACAGTTTTTTGAAGCAGTAGTGCAGTGTTCTGTCAGCACTGCAGTTTCACTTAAGATTTTTGCATTTAAGCTCTGGTGTGCAACAGAACCTTGTTTACTCACAGACAAGTGTTGCTATGGTAGGTAACACTATAAGCCAGTCAAAATATCTATACTGAACGCCTTTGCTGAATCAACTGCAGCTGCGTCTTCATGAGATATGAATTGAACCCAGACAAGGGCATGAGAGGGGTGCAGCCAATTTTTAATGTTGATTCAGGCACACAGTTCTGCATTCACATGCTGCAACTCTGAAGCTTATTATTCATTAATGAAAGTGCAGCTAATGCAGCAGATTATCCCCTCATGCCAAGGCCTATCTTTAGTACAGATCAAATACTCAGCACACAAACAAGTAGTCCCTTGGATCAGCATCCTTCAATTCACAACCACTGATGTAAATCTATGATATTTTACAGCATTTAACCATAATTATCAGCACATGCTAAGTTACAACTTTAAAATTCTGGTTTACTACTTTAAGATTTCCTCCTATCAACTCCCAGAATGAAAAATGGGACCAAGCTACAGAGACAAAAAGGTCGCAGGTGTACTTCTCTTCAGTACAGTTAGCCAATCTCAAAAATCATGCTTCAGAGACTTAAAGGTAATGAACTATTTCAAGGCCATGCCATTAGAATGTGAAAGTATGAACAAGATGCACCCCATGACATGGAACATGCTTTCAAACTGTGTTATGCACCAGAAATAACTATTACAAGTTGCTTCAAATTAGTCCATCTTTCCAATCCTATTACCTGTGAGATAGCAGAGCTCTGGAATGAGGCATATGGGTCCTACAGTAGTACCTCCAGGTCCTTGCCTTTTGGGCTGACTGATGAGCACTGGCTGGTTCAGATCAGTGATGTCAGTACTATATTGCTATGCAAAAATTTAAAAAAAAAAAACAGGTGTAACTCAAATTTTCCCAGATTCCCAAAATACTAAAGCCAACCTATCAATATACTGGTCAATAAATTACAGAAGAAATTGAGATGTCAGAACTTTCTCTTTTTAACTGAAGATTAATGCAACGTGGTTGTACCTTCTTGTAATAATCTACGTAGCTGATTTGAGATCCATCTGTCTTTTTAAAGGTGTTTCGTGGGTTCTGAACCCAATCAACATCATCGATTCGGTAAGTCTTGTTGTTGTACCTAGGAGTCACCATGATGACTAATGAATTGATGAACAAGTACATTGCTATGATTCAAACTGATTTTACTACTGGCCAAGTCAGATCCCAGAATAAAATCTGGCTTGATAGATTTTGATTTTATTTAATATGATGGTCATTCATTGCATGACATGTACACAAGACTGTTTCATTGAAGGAAAGCTGCAAACATTTATTACATAGACAGGGGAAAAAACAAGCTTTTTAAATATAGAAACAAAGATGCAAGATCATAAAATTACGGCCAGTTTCATCTATTCCCCAAAGTTATCACACTAGTATTTCAAATCTTGAGAAAAGACCTTCTACCGACTCTTTAGGTTTGACTTAACTGCTTCTTTCCCAGTTCTGCTGGGTCTTCCTTACACAAGCACTCATGAAACTGAAAGGTTGTGTAATAAATGTGTCAATTTCTGGAAGTTTCAGCACTTAAACTTTTACACCAAGGTAAAAAGCTCTCCTGAACTGTCCTATAGTTTCTTGCAAGGATGGAATATATGGGGAGGCAATGGCCTAGTGGTATTATCGCTGGACTGCTAATCCCTAGGTAATGTTCTGGGGTCCCAAGTTTGAATCCCACCATCTTCCATGGTGAAATCTGAATTCAACAAATATCTGGAAATAAGAATCCAGAAACCATTGTCGATTGTTGGAAAAACCCATCTGGTTCACTAATGTCCCTTTCGGGAAGGAAATTACCACCCTTACCTGGTCTAGCTTACAAGTGACTCCAGACCCACAATTAAGGATGGGCAATACATGCTGGCCTCACCAGTCACATGCTTATCCTTTGAATGAATAAAAGATATTATGTGCTTTCAACCCCAAACAGATCTCCTTCAAAACTGTCCTAAAAGCTTCCAGTCCTGGGTGTTTCCAAACTAAAATCAATCCTTGGTTATTCTAAACCAAAAGCAAGCTATTGTCTTTACAAGGTTTACTCCCAGTCATAAACCTCAGTGTGGATCCAAGGGGCTTGAAATCCATTGGCTCTAACACACACCGAATTAGGTCACAGAAGGATTCTGGTTTTTTCTTTTCCCCAAAAGGGTAAATGTACATCCGTATGCCACTAGCTTGAAATCCAACCCATATTTAGAAAAATAAACATATACACCATTCCTCACAAGATCATAAAAATGTGCTACATTTAAGGAAGGAACAGCACAAAACAACAAATTATAGCGCTGCAAGACTCTGATGTGAAGTAAAGCACCCAGATATCCTCATTCAGAGGAATTACATCTTACCTGGTAAGAACTATGACTCCGATTAGCTCCTTGGAGCAGGCTTCCTGAAACTGGTGTTCACCAAACTGCTCATATAACTGATACATCACATCAAGTACAGTTTCGCTTCGCAGAATCTTGTGACTGACATCTGCACATAACATGACACTGTTCTCGTACTGCAGAATTGACGTGGTGTATCCTGGCCAAACCATGATTCTGTAATAGTGGAAAATGTCGCTATGTTTACCACAGTTTTAAAAGTTCCCACACTTCATCCCCTTGTGAAATTTAGTTTGGTTTTAGTTACATCTGAATACAATTCCCATCACCTTTCTCAATTCCTATGACTATAGCTGTAGCAATGACAGGCAGCCTTTTAATCTGTAATTCTATCCTGCTGTCAATGTAGCCACTAGTGGAAAGGTTTAATTATGGTTTGGTTTGAGAAAAAAGTTATGTAGATTTATGAGCCGAAATACAAAACAAACTATTTGGAATTGAGTGTTTGAACACCATAATTCAAAATATCTTTGACTTCTAATACAGCTACAACTGAAGACTAGACAATCTGTACTCACCCAGTAAGAGAAGATTCATGAGCACAATACATCTAAGTGTTACTTTTGCAATTAGGTCTCATACCTGTGCTGCGGAATCATAATGGGATCCTGAGGGTTGTAATAGTTTCGGCCAATTTGCTGCAAGGACATCATCTTTAAAAGCCTGCAAAAAAATTCAAAAATTTTGTTAAGGAATGGTGACAACTCTATTGAGTCTGTTTAACACAGCAGGTACAAAAGGAATTCTAGTTAAATTAGACCAAATGTAAATTTCTCAGACTCCAACTTCAGTTTTCTCACTGAGGCAACACTTCTTTCCTGTATGATTAGATAAACTTCCGATTATTTAAATCTCAATTATAAAACATCACAAGATCAACCCGGCCCAATTGATTTGTTTTTTGATCAGCCGGTTATCTGACAAGCAGTGAACCCATGCCATATCTAACGTCTCGCAAGTGGAATATTCTTCCAAGTAAGAGTTTGTTTTGCATAAAATTAGTGCTAATTTCACTTTTGATCCTAGCCCTCTCCAGTATCTGGAAGATGTCACTCTTCAGGCCTACTTGAGCACCTGGAAAACAGTTTGGTGTACCAAAATGATAAATGTTTAAATCCCAAAGGGAAGAGGCTCGATTCAACTTGGAGTGTCATGAAGTCCCAGATTCATTTTTTTGCAACAAACGGAGCTATCCTACTAAGGCCTGCACTGGTACAATTGGAGTAAGATATTTTAGACCTCACAGTCCTCAATAGTTTCCAGGTCAAAGATACCTTTTAAATTGCTTACCTTCTGAACACAATGTTGTAAAACTGAAGGCACGTTGGAGATGTCGGAGGTAATTCATTCGTCAAAGTAACCGTTACCTTCACATTCTGGCCATCACGTGTCTGGCTCAGTAGTTCAGTGACCTTACAATTGAAGAACAGGTGACAAATTCTGTTAAAATTCAAACTTTTTTCGCATGTTTAACAGCAAGCTCATCCCTATTATGGGAATTACTACCCTCAAAGTTTGAGGAACTATCTTTCCAATGGCTTCTGAATGAATGTAGGTTCTGGGACTCAGCGGCTTCCATTCGGAATGTCTCAATGCCTTAGTCAACAAGCTCACAATGATAATCCAGTCAGAGCTGAGGGAGACCTATACTGTTGGAAGGATCATCAAATGGAGGTCACATTCACTCTTGCAAGTAGATGCAGAAAGATTTCCTGACACTATTTTGAAAAGAAAGGCAGACACCCCAGCCGTTCCACCCAATATTTATCCCTCAAACAACATCGTCTGTTCAATAATTCATTGCTATTTGCAAAAGCTTGCTATACCTAAATGAGCTGCCTTTCTTTTTATTATTTCGCAGAATAGTACGCTGTTGGTTAAGTCAGCATTTATTGTCCACCCCAAATGCTTTGGAGAAGGCAATGGTGGCTGCCTTCTTGAACTGTTGCTGTCCGTGTAGTCACACCCATAATGCTCTTAAGGAAGTAATATCCAGGATTTTGAACCAGTGACACTGAAGGAATGGTGATAAAGTTCAAGACCGTATGGCGAGTGGCTTGGATGAAACAAATTGGTAGCATTTTCATACATCTGCTTCCCTTGCCACTCCAAATGGCAGAGGTCATGGATTGGAAAATGACAAAGGAGGCTTGATAAATTGCTGCAGTGCATCCTGTAGATGCTACACACTGCTGCTACTGAACATCGGTGTTTCCTACATTGCAACAGTGACTACACTTCAAAAAGTACTTCACACAAGAGAAGAAATAGACTATACTGCCAGTCAAAACTGCCACAACTGTCAACAAAATCATGGTTAATCTTGGGCTTCATAACCACTTTCCCACCTGCTCTCTATATCCTTCAATTCCCAAGACCAACAATCAATCTACCTCATCTTTAGGGAGAAAGCAGAAGAGTTACTGGACCCGAAATACTGACTTTTCTCCCCACAGATACTGCCAGATCTGCTGAGTTTCTGCAGCAATGTGTCTTTGTTTCCTTATAATACAATTCAGTCTCTGGCAGTTGATCAGAAGAAAAACATCAGTCCATTGTTTTTCTTTTCATTCCACTCAAACACTAGGCTCCTTTTTCTTCTTTTCAAGAATAATTACATTTCCAATACAGTATCATGAAGACTCAACTTGAAACTTACTTTCTTTTCCAGTTTTTTAGGCAGGAATAAGACCGACCCATCAAAAACACGAGTTGTACCAAGAATTTTGTCATGCATAAACAATAGCACTGTTCGCAAACGTCTTGATTCCATTTGAGGATTATAATCCACGTGGTACTGATATAGAGCCCACTGTGGGCGAGAGCTTAGGCGAATATAGTTTGTTATCAGTCGTATTAGACTTCCAGAAATACCTGAAAACATAAAAAGATTAATGACTCCCTGTATGACAACAGTAACAATGCTTCAGAAATACTTCATAACCTGAACTAATCTGGGACATCCTGAAATCATGTAAGCAAAATGGTTTACTTCTGCCCCTATAACCTATGTCTAACAGCAGAAGTTGTCAAAGAGATGGCGCCAAAGTAGAGAATCCAAGGAAAGCTAAGGAATAACTGATTATTATTTTCCAGAATTCTACAGAAAACTGTCTCAACGCTGAAGGAAATGAAATGGTACACCTCCTTAAAGTAAAAGATTAAGGGCAAAGAGTAAACATGGGAATTAATGGGAAAATGCTTTTAAAAAAAAAATCAAAGAATTAGATTTTGCTGTCTGGACTCAAACATTGGTAAACATATTTTTAAGGATTCGACACATGAAGTTGTAGAGGTCTGCAATGTGGTATTTCGGATTTACAAGTGAAAGATTTGAATTTAGAAACAAGACAAATATGCTGATGTATAGCATGACAGACGATTTCAAGATAGACTAGATGAGATGTAAATAAGCAATATTTCTTGGAACAAGGATACAATAACCTTAAACTGCAAAAAAGACAGAAAAGACTGATTTAAAAACAGAGCTTAAGATGGCGCAAGTATACTATAAACAAATACTAGGTTCTGTATTAAGAGACATAGATCAAAAAAAAGCAAAGACAGATCATTTCAACAGAAGACAACTTGGATCATAATCAGAATATTCTGCAACTTTGGGCATCCAAAGAGGAACAAAAGGCTGTAAACAAGGTACATATTTTGATTGTCGCTACTTGTTAAAATTAGATTATAAAAGGAGCAAAAATTCAAAAAAATTCTTAATGTTAAGAACAGTTAGCAACTGTGAATATCCTGTTCCAAACCGTTGCTTAAACAATAGTTGCTTGAAAGACAGGGCAAGATTGAAAAATGGATTTCACTAGGTAGTGAGGAGAAAATCAGCAGACTTATTGTGTCAAAAGATAAGATTCTGTGTTATAACAGTTTATGATTCTAATGCTCCCCAACCGAATACTAGACATTTAAGACTCCAAATAGTTAAAAATGACCAAAGCCACATCTGCTACGTCCACCTTATAGTGTAATTCTGCCAAAGTGGAGTGTTTAGCAAGATTAAATCAGACAATTTTCCCCCAAAAATAGTGTGCCACCCAAGTAAGAGGTGCAAATGCAAGTAAGTGCAATAGACATTAAGATTTGGAAGAAACCAAGTGCCTAAAGTCCTGTGTTATTGACCTAATTATACTTCACTTATGATTTCATCAATGCATAATGATTCCTATTTACTATGCTGATCCAGTGTTACTTTGGAGCTATTATTTCACTAGTGAGCACGTAGTATCATTTGTACAGTGCTGGTTGCTTGATCTGGTTTGCTTACAGCAACTATAGCAAGACAATTTGTTTGTTCTACTGCAAAAGACACGCAAAAAAAAAATGTTATGCTGAATCCTGAAAAACTAGAATGAATTCGAAAATGGCCTTCAAAAGCTGGAAGGTTAGGAAAAGTAGACAAAGTCAAAATTTAAACAACTGTGGAGTGAGCAAATCAGAAAAAGTGAATTGGATGAAATTAATAGACAGAAATAAAGTATAAAAGCTAATGGAATTTTTTGCTGCAAGTAGTTACTTATAATTTTTAGGGCTAAAAGGAATCAAAGAGTATGGGGGGAGAAAAGCAGTAACAGGTTGGTTAGCCACGATCATATCGAACAGTTCAGCAGGCTCGGATGGCCTATTTCTGCTCCTATTTTCTTCGTTTCTACCTTTGATCTAAAACAAGCAATTTGATCATTTTTCCATTCAGTGGAAGTAAATGGGTTACAAGAAAAAAACTTAGCACATGATAAGAGATTTAACTATTGAAAGTGATAATCAACATAAGCAACCTCAAATTAAAACTCAACTGCTCTACTCCAGCATTTACCAGTTTTGGACTCCTTGACATGCTCCATTGCCTTCCTCGTGTTCACTCCAAGATCATGCAAGTCTCGCCGACGTCCACCTCTTTCTGCCAATGACATCTCTTTAAATCCAGCAGATATCACCTCAACAACTGCCATATTTGCAGGAAACAAGAATAAGTCAAACAATTAAAAGCCCAGAAGAATTACTTTACTAAGCTTGAGAAATTTCAACTAAGCCCTTTCATGTCTACTTTTCATTTGCAGTGGATGCTAAAGAGAAATATTTATGACCTACATTTACAGTTGCACAAACTCATTGCTCTATAGACAAAACGACAGAATATTAAATTTCTAGAGGCAACCACTCAGGCATTCTACAAACAGGAAAGACATCCAACATAACTCTTACAGAAGAAATACTTCAAATGTGATATGTGTTATTATGTCTAATTATCATCAGGCATTTCTTTTTAAGCCTTGAATTTAAGAATATTGATAGCAAATGGTTGACTTCACTTGAAATAGGAAAACCAGTGAAACAGTATTTGAAAGATTTTTGTTTAAAAATAAGCAATGTGCAATCTACCAGGTTTGCATGCTGTGCAAACGTTGAGGTCACCAAGATTCAACATGTTGAACAAAAATGTTTAATGAATACAATCGCTTCACTAACGTTCTAGTTGAGACAAGAATGGAATAAGTTATGCAATAATGCCACAAGGCAGTTAGTAAGATTCATACCAACCAAAAAGCTCCAGCAAGTTTCTAAAGTGCAGATTCATCATTGTAGGTGTGACCTGTACCTGGCTACATAAGGTGACTTGTACCTGAACATACTAACCAGTCCACGCTTGGTTACAAGATGGCAGACAGAAGCTAAGCAAAATGGTACCTCTGAACAGAACTGCTAGAAGGTCAGTAAAAGAACGCTGTATGTTCCCATTCGAGACAGTTCTGATACAAGGATGCCTTAGGACAGATAAATGACCAATTCCAGCTTTATTAAATAAAGGATGATTGTCCCAGTAAATGAATGACATCAGGTGCAGATTAGGTCCTCAAGCAACTGCAAGGCCAACAGCTAAAGTTATTTCGTAGTAAATAGTTGCCTCTTTGAAGCTGCCTGCAATGTTAAATAGTTTCTAGCTAAAGATGCTCTAATCATAGAAGTCGGTTTCAATACATAACCAGGATATAATACAAGCCTTAAAAAAAATTTAAGCTTAGATGTAAAGGTTAACTAGCCTTAGAAGAAACCTTCTCTTATGCCCTGAACAAGATAGATTGATCACAACCTATAAATTACAAAATTCTAACAGCAGAAGTAGTTGTATAACATCACACTTACAATTAACTTTGTAACAAAACTTAACCTTATAGCAATGAGTTAAAACTAACCGACTTATTTTTACGTTATGTAATTGGGACAGTGGGGAAAATAAAAGGAGTAACTGAGTGTGATAAAGGACAGCACCAAAATTCAACAGGTAATAGAATTTGAGCTGTTCTTAGAGATAAACAAGCCTGAGAAAGACCTGAAGGAGTATAGCCAATAAATGTTTGGAATGCGAATGAATAGCATGCATAGAAAGATCAAGGTCTACAGACTACAACGTCGTGCTAATATCATAAGATCATAGGAACTTGGGCTGTCCATATATGTGCCTGTCGTTGATTAGGTGTCCCACAGGACTGGGTGTCTGGATTAAGGGGAAGGACAGTGACTATGTTGTATTTGATTACTGTAACACAATGTATAAAAATGCTGTATTTCTTTGTAAAAGCAGAGCGTGTCATTGATCTAACTTCCAAAGCCAGATTTGGGGGAAGATCCTTTGGCCCACTCCCTGCATAAACCAATTTCTGCTTGAATAAACATCTTCCAGTTGCCAGAATCCTGCCTGCCTCCTGAGTCGGGAGAAATGCTCCTACAATTATGCATCTATGACGTTACACAGCTTCAGCCTCGACCAAGAGAAACTTGAGAGACAACTAAACAAATATTTCTGCATGCACAAATACCCCCCATTTTCCATTCAGAAGCATAAAGTACAGTTAGAGATTATTTACACATAGAAGTTATGAAATTTATTCTATTAGGATAGACATTTTATCAAAGCCTCACCATCTTTGCGTCCCACTGCTCCAGAGGACCCCCTTTGTCGACCACGCCCAAGCAGTTCGGGTTCCCCTGCAGTGACAGGTCTTGTTGGAGCTGGTATTGGAGCAGCTGCCTACATTTTAAAAGTACAAAATAGACCTACATTTATTTCTGAAGCAATCAGTTTTCTTAAGTCACTGTAGACCCACTAGCCTTTCAATGGCTGCTTGTGATTGGAATTGGTTTTAAAGGTTCAGACACAGGTAGAACTGATATCAAATTAAGTGCCGTGCTCAATTATATTAGTAAATTCAATCATCCTTTCATCTCAGGCAAACCATCAACCTTTGTGCCCATTTCTCTATACATGTGCGTTTTGACAAAAGAAAGCTGAACAAAGATGGCAGTCATGAAGTTGAACACGAATCACCCAACTGAGCTTGTGCTGCTATAAAATGGCATTAAAACTGACCCGCACTTCAATCCTGTTATTCACTTTGCTCCACAGCCAAAAATCTATTGAAATTTCAAATGATCCAGCGGAACCAGCTGCTTGAAGATGAGTGTTCAAGTTTCTACATAACGTGGTAAGAGACAGTGCTTCTTGATTTCATTCTGAATTGAACTAGCACTAATTCTAACAATAAACCCAATTTCAAGGACTCAATGGCAGTGTTAGTGCCCCACCTCTGAGCCCAGGTTCAAACCCCATTTGCTCCAGAGGTGTGTCACAACATTTTAATTAACCTGCTCAGACATAACAAAACCTAATTCCAAAGAGACTTTTGGCACATTGATTGTGTCTCTGCCTCTGGACCAGAAGGACTGCATTTAAGTCCCACCTGCCTGAAAGGTGTGTCATTGTTTGATCAGGTTGATTAAAATAGCTATATTCCATTCACTCCAGCCTGGTAACTGATTATCCCTCAACCAATAAAAGTAGATTATCTGGTCATTTACCTTCACTATGATTCAGAACTTGGCTATGCATCAATGGTGATTATTTTAACCTCACTGTAACAATACCTACACTTCAGAAGTGATGCCTTGACTGCAGTGCCATATGCCCTTTGCCCTATTTACATTCCAGTCCTAAGATGTTCATAAGATGTAGAAGTAGGCCATTCAGCCCATCATGTATGCTCTGCCATTCAATGAAACCATGGCTGATCTAATAATACTCAACTCCACTTTGCTGCCTTTGCACCACAACCTTTAATTCCCTGACAGATTTTTAATCTATACATCACAGCCCTGAATATACTTAATAACCCAGTCTCCACAGCCCTCTGTGGTAAATTCACTAGCCTCCAAAGAAATTCTTTATCTTTTTTAAAATGTGATGCCTTATTCTGAGATTATGTTACTTCAAGATGCTCCAACAAGAGAAGAGGAAACAACGTTTTCGCATCCAACCCGTCAAATCTCCGAAGAATCTTGTTATGTTTCATAAAGTCAGAGAGTCCTCCAGCATGGAGACAGACCCTTCGGCCCAAACTGGGCCATGCCGACCAAAATGTCTACCCACACCAACCCTATTTCCCTGCACTTGGCCCATATCTTTCTAAACCTTTGCGATCCGTGTATTTGTCCAAATGCCTTTTAAATGTTGTTAATGTACCCATCTGAATCAATTCCACTGGCAGCTCATTTCATATGTGTACCACCCGCTGCATAAAAAAGCTGCCCCTCAGGTTGCCATTTATTCTTTCCCTCTTACCTTAAACTGATGACCTCTATAGTCCTTGATTTTCCAACCCTGGGAAAAACTCTCTTCAATAAGGCTGTCTTCCATTCTTCTTAGTACCAACGAGTATAGTACTCAAGCTCTTCTCATAAGACAGTTCCTCCATACCTGGGTATCAGACTGGTGAACTTTCTCTCTGGACTACCTCAAATGCCAAATATCTTTCATTAGAAGGGGCCCAAAACTGTTTACTGTATTCCGGCTGGGGCCTGATTAGTGCCTTTTTGGGTTTAGTAAAAGCTCACTATATTTTCTCCATTCCCTTTGAAATGGAAGGTCAACATCCATTTGTATTGTCTATTACATAGCGAAGTTGCTAATTGAGAGATTCATGAACATGGCCTCCTAAATCCCTCTGTTCTGTAGCTTTCTTCATTTACACAATATTCAGCTCTTTCATTCTTCCTGTCAAAGTGTATAACCTCACATTTTCCCACATTATATTTCATCTGTGAAGTTTTTGCCCACTTGCATAACTCTGCAGACTTCTCATCCTCACCACGTCACAATTATTTTTGTCTCATTGCAAACTTGACTTCAGTACATTCACTTTTTTTAATGCAAGTCATTTATACAGTCATTCCTCTGTACTCACGAGAGTTCCATTCCAGAGAACCTCCATGAATGAGGAAATTCATGGAGTGTGGAGCTCATTAAAAATAGATTTAAATGGTTAAAAACATTGCGGACATGCAAATTTTCCCTTTTGTTGTTACTTATTTTTTGGCATGGATAGGTCAATTCGAAATTTGAGATTCCGTGGACATAGAGGATTGACTGGATGTTTTAATTAAACGTGGCCCTAGCACAAACTCCTGTAACACTCTACTAGTGGTCCTGTTTTAAATAAAACGGCTCTTGGGCGCAGTGGAAATGTCCCCACTGAGACCAGAGGGTGCAAGTCCCACCTGCTCCAGACACATCACAATATGTCTGAACACATTCATTAAAAGTGACCATAATTCCATAAGTTTTTGGAAACTTTTGGATAAGGACAAGAGTGGACCTCAGATGAAGGTGTTAAATTGGGAGAAGGCCAACCTTGAATTAGGCAAGAATTGAAGAATGTGGAGTGGGAGTGGCTGTTTGAGGATATCTGACACGTGGGCGTCTTTTAAGGACCAGTTGATTAGAGTGCAGGGCAGGCATGTCCCTGTTAAAATAAAGGACAGGGATGGCAGGGGAAATTATCAGCTTAGTCAAACAAAAGGAAAAAGAAGGAAGCGTATCTAACTCTGGGCAACTAAAAATAGACAAAATCCTTGAAGAATAGAAAAAGCAGGATGGAGCTCAAACAGAGTTGGAGGGATAAAAGGGGCAATGAAAGGTCCTTGGCCAGCAGGCTTAAGAAGAATTCTAAGGCATTTCATACATACATTGGGAGCAAGAGGGTAGAGGGTAGCAAGGGAAAGAGTAGGTTCATTCGGGGTCGGGGGGTTGTGTGTGGAAACAGGCATAAACCTTAATGGAGTACTTTACATTGGTATGTACCAAAGAGCAAGATGTTGAGGTTAGGAAAAGGTGTGTGATAGCATGTCAACATAATGGAGGATGAAGTATTGGTTGTCTTGAAATACATTAAGGTATACAAGTTCCCAGGCCAGACAGGATCTATTCCAGGATACTGTGGGAAGCAAGGAAATATCTGGGGCCTCAACAGATATTTTATCATCTTTGGCCTCAGAGGACAGGAACACTTCGGAGCATTCACACACAGTGTCCAACATGGTGGCACTGGCAAGGTAGGCAGCATTCGGGCTCCTGGGCTCGTCCGCTCCAGATGGTTGCCTTCTCCATTCTTTCCTTAGCACTTTTTTTTGTCTTTTCTTAGTCTTCATCTTCTTCCTGTCAGTGGTGGCAGAGGGGAGCAGCCAGACAGGTACTCTTAGCGAGACGGAAGCCTGGTCTGGAAGAGAAGCCAGGGAATCCTGGTGGGCCCAGAGCAGGGACTCCAGGTATCAGTAAGGTAGCAGCTTCAGCAAAGCCAAGGACTCCTGGTTGTGGTGGGCCTGAAGCAGGGACTCCGGGCATCAGCAAGGTGACAGCAGAGCTAGGGACTCCTAATTATGGTAGGCCCAGAGCTGGATCTCCTGGTTGAAGGCAAATGTGAGTCCAGCATAGGACCCAACGTCAGCAGCTCATTGGCGGGGTGGGTCAAGTGACAAAGAGATGGTGCCTGAAAAGTGCTTTCTCTGACATTGGGCAGTCCAGCGCAGTTGGCAGCGCGGACATCGTTGGTCAGCCAGCTCAGGGGTCAGGATTCATTGTGGAGGCAGTGGAGTGAAGGTGGACTTTCTTTCAGCTTTGTCTTTTTATTCTTGAAGTATTCAAATAAGGCTGGATTGGAGTAACAGTTGAAGCTTGTCACCATATTTTACCCTGTTGCTCATTGTAGAATATAAGTGACAAGAAAATCATAGAGGAATCTGTGCAAACAGGTCCACAGATCCCCATAAGGGGCAACATGGTTGGATAAGGTGAGCAAGAAGGTATACAGCACACTTGTCTTCATCGGCAAGTTATATTACAGCTGTACAAAATAATAGTGTGGCGACCAGAACCATGCACAATATCAGAATGATGTGGATGCTTTGGACAGGGAGCAAAGAAGGTTTACCAGGATGTTGCCTGGTGTGGACGGTTTTAGGTATGAGGAGAGAATGGATAAACTCGGATTTCAACTCGGAGGCTGAGAGATGACCAGATGGAGGCCTACAAAATTATGAGAGGCATAATGACAATCCACCCTTTCTCCCAGGGTGGAAAGGTCAGCTACAAGGGAGCAGATATTCAAGATAAAAGGGGGAAGGCTTAAGGGAGTAGTGCAGGAAAAATTTTTCCAGAGGGTGGTGGGTGCCTGGAGAGCAATGCCAGTGGACGTTGTGGAAGTAGGCACGTTAGCAACGTTTAAGGTACATCTCGATAGACACGAATGGTAGGCGACTAGAGGTATAAAAACCACATGTGGGCAATAAGTAGAGGGTCTAAAAGGTTAGGAATTGGCACGGGCTCAGTGGGCTGAAGGGCACATTCCTGTGCTGTAGTGTAGAAAAGTACTGATATTCTGCAAGGGAAAAAGCAGACAGGGTTATGATAATTAAAGTAAACTCCTTCAAGTGATTATCCCTTTGACCTGCATTATCATTTTATGTAATTTGTTCTCAATTTCATTGTCCTGGTCTCTCTTTCCACTCTCCATGGCCTTTCCCAAAACTGAGTGCAGATGACGTGTGCCAGGTGAGGTTTCCACAGGCTACGACAAATATTTCTTTCAATTCATAGGATGTGACAGTAACTGGCTGGATCGGCACTTATTGCTCATCCCCAGATCTCCTTGAGAAGGTGGCGGTCAACTGCCTTCTTGAACTGCTGCAGTCCACATGATAAAGGCAGACCTAACGATGAAAAATATTTCTAAACCTATGGGAGGGAATTCCAGGAGTATTTGATAACAAAGACGTTTATAAAAGTGAGCAGATATCAGTGTACAAAATAGCTGTTATCATCACACTCTTGTGCTGCAACAAGACCTGGACTGTTCACTAGCAACACGCAAGAGCATTAAAGCGTTAGATAAATTCCAATGACTCCACCTCATTCTCTGGATTCAACACGAGGACCAAACAAATTAGTGTCCTTCTTGAAGCCATTTCCACTAGCAGTCAGACAGAACTCCTGCACATTCCACTGCTTTATGGGATGCCCTGCCAGTTCAGTCCCACTGCAGAAACTCACAACCAAATAAATGGCATTCTCGAATCAAGGGACAGTTGCCAGCGTGCTAGGATCTGACCAAGGATTGGTTTAACTGAAGCATTATTATCTCATTAGTGCATTCCAATCCCTTTGGCCAAAAGCCAAAATTCCATTCCAAAACCCAGGAAAGTATACAAATCAGGCAGCTCACAATATTGCTAATAATGGATTAAGCAACGGCACACACGTGTACGTGTGAGAAACAAGTGCAGGTTTGCGCACTGGCTTACAATTGGAGCAAGACTAGCCAAGGAAAGGTTGCATTCCCCAATGACTAACACCACCCTTGTCTTCCCACATGACCGCAGAAGGTGCAACACCTGCCCTTTCACCTCTTCCCTGCTCACCATCCAAGGGCCTAAACAGTCTTTCCAGGTGAAGCAGCATTTCACCTGTACCTCCTCCAAGCTGGTCTATTGCATTTGCTGCATCCAATACGATCTACTCTATGTTATAACAAAGAATAATACAGCACAGGAACAGGCTCCTTGGCCTTCCAAGCCTGCACCAACACATTCTATCCTTCCATACTAAAACTGTCTTCACTTACAGGATCTGTAAGCCTTTACTCCCTTCCTACTGTATTCATCCAGGTGCTTCTACAATGCCGTTATCGTGCCTGCTTCCACCACCTCCTCTAGCAAAGCATTCCAGGAACCCACCACCATTTGTATGAAAAACTTGCCTCACACATCTCAAACTTCTTCCCCCTTGCACCTTGAACCTGTGTCCACTACTGATTGACCCCTCCACATGCTTTCCATTCTACCCATGCCATTGACAATCTTATAAACTTTATTAGGTCACCCTCAACCTCCTGCATTCCAGTGAAAACAAACCCAGTCTATCCAACCTTTCCTCATAGCTAAAATCCCCTATACCAGGCAACATCCTGGTAAACTTTTTCTGTACTCTCTCCAAAGCATCCACATCCTTCTGGTAGTGTGGTGATCAGAACTGTATGAATATTTCAAGTGTGGCCTCACTGAAGTTCCATAAAGCTGCAGCATAAATTACCTATCCTTATAGTCAATGCCCCCTCCAATGAAGGCAGGCATGCCATAGGCCATTTTTACTAACTTATCTACCTGCACTGCCACCTTCAGTTATCGGTGGACCTACACACCCAGATCTCTCTACATATCAATACTTCTAAGGGCTCTGCAATTCACTGTAAAATTTCCACCTGAACTTGACCTTCCAAAATCCATCACTTCACATTTGTCTGGATTAAACTCCATCTGCCATTTTTGTGCCAATGCCTCCGACTGTATCCTCTGATGATCCTCCTCATTATCCGCAAATCCACAAATCTTTGTATCATCCACTAACTTAATTAGACCGGCTACATTTTCCCCCAAATCAGTTACGTTGGAGGAACCAAACGCAGACTGGAAGAGTGCTTTGCAGAGCACCTCTGATCCGTGCGCAAGCATAACCCCACCCTCCCTGTAGCTGCTCATTTTGACATGCATCCTGGTCGCACGCTCACTTGTCTGTCCTCAGCATGCTGCAATGCTCCAGCAAATCACAGCACAAACTAGGAGCAACATATCTTTAGACTAGGTACTTTACAACCTTCTGGACTTACTATTGAGTTCAACGTGTTCAGATTGTGAACTCACTCCCCATTTCTTCCCTTTCTTTTAGCTTTACTTGTTTCATTCTCTGTCACCATGTCCCCTTTCCACACTCCAGTGAGACTATCTGTTCTGAGATAACAAGGTGTAGAGCTGGATGGACACAGCAGGCCAAGCAGCATCAGAGGATTTTTCTGAAGAAGGGTCTAGGCCCGAAACGTCAGCTTTCCTGCTCCTCTGATGCTGCTTGGCCTGCTGTGTTCATCCAGCTCTACACCTTGTTAACTCAGATTCTCCAGCATCTGCAGTTCCTACTATCTGAGGTCATCTGTTCTTTTCAGTTTGGCAGTTAGACCCATTGTTCTGCCACTCAAATTCTGATCACTAAAAATGCACTATCAACATCCTTTCTTCCCCAGCACTATGCATAAATGCTGCGCCGCCCCCCAAACGTCATGTCAGTCATCTAGACTTGAAACGTTAGCTTGCTCTCTCTCTATAGATGCCTGGGCTGCTGTGTTTTCCAGCGTTTTTTGTTTTCACTGCAGATTCGAGCATCTGCAGTAATTTGTTCCTGTAGAACCCCCAAGTACCTCAGTACCAAGAGGGGTTCACACTGATTTTGAAACACTTTCTCACTCTAGAGATTCTGCCAGACCAGAGTTTCTCCGGCACTTTCTGGTTTTAATTCAGATTTACATCTCCCAGTATTTTGTCTTTGACAACATGCTGCCTTTAAGCTGCAACTTCACTAAGATCAGGTAGGTAATGTAATTTGTTATTGAAGCTGACTAAATTAACAGCCAAAACAAAGGCAAAAATTAAACAATAGCTCCTTGAACTAAAGTGCATTTAATTCCATGGATAACAAAACCTTACAATATAGTAAAATGTGCATTTAACCCAAGAACTGTTAGAACCTCAGTACCTCAAATACAAAAATATGGCAATTCCATGTAAAAATACTAAGACAGGAAAAGAAAAATACTGTAGATGTTGGAGATCTGAAATAGATTTAATACTCAGCAGGCCAGGCAGCAGTGGACAAAGAGCAAGCTAATGCTTCAGGTCCATTAACTCTGATCACAACATTCTACAAAGGACTAAAAAGTTAGGATCACTTTTGACTTTCTGGTATCACAGCTACAAGACTAGCTGTTGAGAAACAGAACGGCGTCTGACAAAACAAGCACACATGAAGGATCATAATTTACAGGGGGGAAACGTTTTCAAATTGGTGTAATAGACCAAACAAAAGCTGGAACCCATCAAGCCACATCCCTTCACAGGGAGGGCAAAAGAAAACTATACGGTAAAGCACAAACATACAATTCTAGTGGGAATAAAAATAAGCTTTCACCGCATATTAAACAAAACACTGACAAATCATTAAGTCAAAAAAATAAAGCAGTGAAATGGGGACAACTTTCTAACCAAGTTACCGATGAAAGCTATTTTATCATAAAACAAAGTTTTAAAACACTATTAGTCTCATTGGAAAACATTTTAAAGTTAATTTGTTGAATAAGATGCAACTGAGTTTTTAAATGACATACTGCCATTTGTTGAACCACTTTTTTGACTTCCATAATTGTAATATTTATGCCTTTAAAACATGGAGTGACATGAACAAGGACAATCAACACTTCTCACTTCCTTGTTGCAGTGACAATTTTTCAATGTAATTAGCTATTTAGCCTGCATGAAGGCATCACTATTGTTGGAAGCCAGAGATCCTTCATGAGAACAAAACTACAAGTCATACAACACCAGGTTATAATTGTCAGATCATGAAGGAGGAGCAGCGGTCCAAAACCTTGAGATTTCAAATAAACCTGTTGGACTATACAACCTGATACTGTGTGACTTCTGACTTTGTCCATCCTCGTCCAACACGCACCTCCACATCAGGAGAATAACATTGACACTGGGAAAGGAGAATTCCTCACCCCCAGTCATTGGCTTTTTGTGCATAATTTTCTTCAACATTAATGGTGAGTGTTGACACTGTTGCTGACTGCAAAATCCAAGCCTGAAACTAAGTCTGAGAGTTTCAAAACTTCATTTATTTCTCAAAGATCAGTTTTCCTGGTTACAAATGACAGCCTCCCATGAATAGTTTTGCAAAACCCATGTGATATGAACTACAGAATCGTTACGCAAAAAGTAAAATACACGTGAGAGAAAATTTACTTACTAGCCTCGGAGCAACAGGCTGGGCACTTGCTTCAGGGACACGGGCCCGCCCTCGGGCCCGAGAACGTGCTCTTCCACTCATTTTTGTAAATTCAATGCCCCAGTTTTTCTCTCTGAGGAGTGAAGAGTCATGCAAACTCAGGCCATAAGAATGTACAAAATCCCCACATCAGCATTAAGGTGTCAAAGATCTCAAGAGACATATTAACAGCAAACACAATTTTCTTGAAAGACATGTGCTGGTCAGCATCCATGGCACAGCATGATGTCCAGTTCTAGTACTTGCTCTACAACAAATAAATCAAGTAGCACTGTAGGGAGAAGGGGTCAGGAAGGCTGCTTTTCAGAAGGGGCCAGTTCATGTTTTGGAGGTGGGTAAGGAGCAAAACTAAGCTCCAGCTCAGGGGTACCGGGGAAAGGAAATTCAGAGAAGAGGGTCTAGCACTTGGGGAGGGAGCGAGAGAGAGAGAGAAGGCAAACAGAAGTCCATCTGGGAAGGTGGGGAGGGACTTTGAAAAGGTTTTGGGCGTTATGGAAGAAGAATCAAAGAGTCAGCTTGTGTGGGGGAAGGAGGCAGGAAAGACCAGTTTATAAGGAGAGGGGTAAACAGAAGGCTTGTTTGCAATGGAACCCTAGAGGAGTCCTCGGCCGCAACAATTTCATAAATCCAGACCTCAAACTTGCAAGAGATTACAGCAATAATCCTTTCCCGCGCAAATGTCTTCGCCAACATTTGGCGAAATTACCACTAAAAACAATAACCGTTCATCGACCTCACCGTGAATCCGCAGCAATAACACTAGCCCCCACCCGCCCCGAGCCGCCCCGCGCCGCCCCGCGCGGCGACTAACCGCCTTCACCGTGAACCATCCAACACAGGCACGCGCTACTATCGCATCACTGCCCCTCACCCCTATCACTCCGCACAGCTCTCAAATCTAACACTTCAATTAACTTTTGTAGTCTGAATACATGCCTAATCCATTCCCTTTGCATATACCGGTAGCACCAAGCATGAGTAGTTTGATTAATTGTTCTTTTTCGATCTGGATCTATTTGACACGTGATCAGTGGAGGGATTTTGGTGTGGAGACAGAGTAGCGCGGTTTCGTGGGTAGTACGCGTGCGTGTGTAGTGTTAGGCGGGAAAGGGAAGGTACGTTTCAGCGCGTGGAAACGAGAAGTCAGAATATTGAGGAGATTTAAGTGGGAGAAGTTTTTTTTTAACAACTTCTTGTTTATTTTGTCTCAGTTGTATTTCTCTGAGAAGAAGTGGTTTCCTCACCTGTCTGTTACTAGGAGGCCAACTACTGCCCAAGCAGATTTGCACGTGAGGCACCATAAGTAATGTGTATTTTTTAAACATCAACAGTTTCCCATCCATTTGGAGAAATATAATAATGGCAATTTTTTTTATTCTTCCATGGGCCGTTGGCATCACTAGCTGGCCAGCTTTTATTGCCATTCCCTAGTTGCCCCTTGAGGTAGTGGTGGTGAGCTGCCTTTTTGAACCACTGCAGTCCATGTGTTGTGGGTCGACCCATGACGTCCTAAAGGAGGGAATTCCACGAATTTGACTCAGCAACAGTGAATGAAATAGGTCACCATTTAAAGTCAGGATGGTGACTGGTTTGGAGGGGAACTTGCAGGGGCTGGTGTACCCATGTATTTGCTGCCCTTTTCCTTCCAGGTACCAAGAATTGCATGTTTGGAAGGATATGTTGAAGCCTTGGTGAGTTACTTCTCATATCATCAATGGTGTGCACTGCTGCTGGGCCTGTGTGTTAGTTGTGGAGAAGGTGAATGTTGAAGGTGGTGGTTGTGATGCTAATTAAGCAGGCTGCTTTGTCCTGGATGGTGTAAAGCTTGAGTGTTGGAACTGTACCCATCCAGGCTAGTAGGGAGTATTCCATCACATTCCTGACTTGTGCCTTGGAGATGCTAAACAAGTTTTGTACAATTAAGAGGGGAGTTTCTTTTTGCAGAATTCCCAACCTCAATATAACACCTGGGATTTGGATCATGAGGAATTCAGTGACGGTGATGCCATTCAATGTCAAAGAGAAATTGTTAAATTCGCTTTTATAGAGTCATAGAGCACAGAAACAGACCCTTTAGTCCAACTCGCCTATGCTGACCAAGTTTCCCAAACTAAAATAGTCCCACCTGCCTGCAGTTGGTCCATCTCTGTCCAAACATTTCTTATTCATGTACTTATCCAAGCATATTTTAAATGTTGTAACTGTACCTGCATCTACCCCTTCCTCTGGCAGTTGATTCCACACACAAAAGACTATGTTTAAAAAAAAAATTGCCTCTTTTAAATCCTTCAACTCCCATCTTGAAAGTATGCTCCCTGTTGTAACACAGTCAAGAGTTCAGGATTGTGTCTTTATAGATCTGTGTCTGTGTTTGGGTAAGACAGTTTAGACTGAGTTTAACTCTGCATTTCTACTTGGATGATGCCTGTCCTTCCAATATTTGACTGAGACATCATTGAGAGTTTCCCCAGGCTGTCCCTGCCCTGGGAGTGTGAGATGCAGACACTGCAGAGGGAGCATTCCTCTGTATCTAACTTCATTCTTGACCTGCTCTGGGAGTTTTAGATGAGGACAATTTAAGGGAAGCTCTACTTTGAATCCTGTATGTGCTCTAGTGTTATTAGCTGGGAACACTGATAATGTTTCAGAGATAGTAGGAACTGCACATGCTGGAGAATCTGAGAT